TCCACACCATGGTCTCAAAAAGCTCTTTTTTGTGTCAGCAGCTTTTGCCGCATTCCCTCAACGGCAAAAACCATATATCAAACGAGCACTGTTTAGATAGTCCCCATGGACGCCTCCGAAGGCCGATATGCACTTAGCCAGTAATATCGTTCCGGATGACGATGTTGTTATTACTAGTTTTGGTTAGCAGCAACCCGGCCCCGACGAGTTTAAAGCTACCTACCATTATTAACAGATAATGCATTCTAGAAGTCAGGGCTTCAGTTCGAGGATGTTTTGATGTTTCCGCTGATCTCTTAAATTCACGCTTTTCTATGAAGTGTTTCAAATGTCTTCTTACCTTGACGATTGCCTTAGCGTAACTTGTTTAAGACAATTCCTGAGCTCGCAAATGCGAGTTTAACCCCCCGAATTATGCCGAATGCAACCACCAATGTATCCAAACTAAATCGACCATAGGATGTGCCCTCGTCCAACATCTGCATTCAGAAGGACTGCTGGAATGATTGCCTTTTTGGGCAAGTAATGGTAGGTAGCACACTGCATGCAAAGTACCAACAAAGTACAACTTTCGCCTCGATTGCCTTCTTTCGGCCTAAAACCCCTTCCACACCAGTTATGGTGCGACTGAATCCTCGGTTCGCCTTGGCTGTATCACACACACACACACCACTACGTACGATATACCCCAACGGGTTCTTCTGATTCTTTATCGCCTACACAGGCAACACCAGCATACGGAAACTTCAGCCCAACATAATAAATATGAGCTAGTGTCTTTCATTTGACCTGATACGTTCCTTGTATGGCTTCTGTGCACATTTATGACCAGTTTTCACTTCCACTAGCTGAACTAGGACTGGCATATTTACTTTCAACAAGATCTCGTAACTTTTTTCACACTCAAAGCCTCTGAATTACTTTCTTACGTTTGCAGGTGCTTCGCGCCGCCGAGCAAGCCCATCTCTGGTCTGAACTGGTCTTCCTCTACGACCGCTATGAAGAATACGACAATGCCATTTTGACCATGATGAATCATCCCACCGAGGCCTGGCGCGAGAACCACTTTAAGGATATCATCACCAAGGTTGCGAATGTCGAGCTCTTCTACAAGGCCATCCAATTTTATCTGACTTACAAGCCTCTTCTACTGAATGATTTGCTCACCGTCCTCGTCCCACGACTGGACCATACACGTACTGTGAACTTCTTCCTCAAGGTCAACCACATTGCTTTTGTAAAGCCCTATCTCACACTGGTGCAGCAGAGCGGAGCCAACATCAAGGCTGTCAATGAAGCGCTGAATAATCTGCTGATTGATGAAGAAGACTACCAGGTAACTTTGCTGTGTCCTCATAAAACATCTCCCCTAGCTTTCAGAAAGGCAGCAGTAGGCTCCTCTTTAGGATTTAATCAGATAGGGATGCACTTAGGTTGTCTTACATAAATTGTTTTATCCCAGCCTGCTGTTACTTCCTTATATTAAGTCATTCTACTCGAGGTACGAGGATCTGTCGTACTAGGTTTGTTCGTCAGATTTGGTAC